ACATGACCGATCCGAGTCGGTATCGATTCCGGCCAGTTCGATCCGACTCGATTCGATGTTTCCCGATGTTTGCAAGGCGTCGTTGGGCGTGTGAGCGCAGCCGATCCGATTTCGATCCCGATGCGATGTTGACTGATCGTGCCCTGTCCGTATCATGCCGCTGCGACGGGGCTCGAGGCGATGGTGCTGTCCTTCGTCGAGTGCAGCATCGGCTTCGAGCACGGCTTCTTCCCCGGGTGGTGGGGTGCCCCCGTCGGCTTCCGTCGCTCGGGTGCCAGCATTCGTTGTCCCTCCGTTGCCTCTCAGTCCTCTCACTACCAGTCCACCGCTCCTCGGCTGATCGAGAGTTTTGAGCGCAGGGCGAGTACGAGTCCAACTTGCTAGGGTCCGCCGTAAAGTTCGACAGGGAAACTGATCAGCAAAAGTGCCAGGCGTCAGTTCGTGTTGAAGCGTTTCTCAGAGTAATTGCAAAATCTACCACACGCAGCCTTTGGGGATGGGACATCACAGGAATAGTCTGGGACACTGCGACCCGCGTGATGGTATATTGCTCGCAGAGGTGGTGACTTCTTTCTTATCCAAGTTCACCAGTCGTGTGAAGGAGTTAGGGGTCGTTACTTACCACCACACCGGTGGTTCCTTTCAGGTGCAAGTGTCTTGCAAAACGCCATCTTCACAGAGTGAGTTTTCGCTCGCGGGCAGCCGTATCGCTGCATTCGATGGGAGGAAAACGAAACATCGGAGGTCTCGGCCTGGAGTCCCCCCCCCTCCTCTCGTCGCAGAGCAAACGCGGCGGGAGATTTCTGGCAGCTTTTTGGCCTCCTGGGAAGCCCTCGCCAGGCCCCGGGGCCTGCAGAGCGCCTCGGGATGTGAAGCTGGACCCAGGGAAAGAGCCCAGACCTCCGGGGGCCACGTCGTGAAAAAGAGCACGACGCTGGAGATCTGGGAAGAGGAGGAGGAGGAGGAGGAGGAGGAGGAGGAGGAGGGTTAGCACGGACTCTCTGCTGGGCTCACGTAAGGAATCCCGCAGGCCAAAATTCAGGGCCTCCTTGGGATCCGGCGTCGCGCAGGCAGTGCAACATATTCTTATTCATATATTGTTCTAGGGCCAGGGACCCCAGAAAAAGCCCCCCCCCACCCCTACCTAACGAATCTGGCACACCCGGGGCCTCTCGGGCAACCCACCAGACGACCCGAGAGAACTCCACGAGAGCCCTAAGACGGCCCCAGGGGGCTCCAGGCGTTCCGGCGCGCTCCCGAAACAACCCCAGAGAGCCCCAAGACGGTCCACGACGACACCAAAGAAGCCGTCATACCCCCAAAGATCGCTCCAAAACATCCCAAGAGGCCTCCAAGAGCACTACCAAGAAGGCCCCAAGAGGCAAAACTCATTGATTTCCTGTTGGTTTTGGGTTAAGTTGGGGGTTCTCCTCTTTTCGGCTTCCCGACGCTCCAAGACGGCGGTCTTCTGGGCGTCCGAAGCCGCCTGGGAGGCTCGACAATCGCCCCACAACCATCCGAAAGGGCTTCCAGGCAGTCCAAGAGAGCCCCAAGACGGCGCAACAGGGTTCCAAGATGGCCTAAGAGAGCCCCATGACGGCCCAAGATGGCCCCAAGACACCCTCCGAAGCATTCCAAATCGTGACCCAGTCGTTCGGGGAGACCGCAGATGCAGGCAGGGTGGCCCGAGGAAGCCCCAGGGGCCTCCAGAAGGCTTCAAGAAAGCCTGAAAAGTTGTTGTAAGGCCCCCAGAGGCTCTCCAGGGAGGAGCCTCCGCAAAAAGAGCTGAGAAGGATGGGGAGATTACGCAGGGTAGGGCGAGAATGAGGAAAACGAAGCATGGAAGAAGGATAATGAATAACATTATTATAACGGCGGATGCCGGAAAGGAGCAACAAGGAGTTATCGCTAAATGTTCGGTTTGGCGTTCTTGCCATTCCGCCTGCATACCAAATTTCAAGGACCAAGGTGCACGGCGCGAAGCGTCATTGCAGTCTTGCATAAAAGATTACAGCATGTATACTATGTATGTGTGTATATGTAAATACATACATGCATGCATGAATGCATGCATACATACATACACACACGCATATAGCACACACGTATATAAACACGTATCTATATATACATATATGCATGCATGCATACATACATATACACAACTATACATATACATCTACGTCTACATCTACATATACATATACATTACAAATACATACATCTATCTACATAGATATCTATATATATATATATATACATATATAGATCGTGGGAAGTGACGGCGCTGGAGATCTGGCCCCCCAGGGCGCGATGGGCCCCGCGAGGAAAGCTCCAGATGGGCCTCCGGGTGACATCCTGGGGATGCCTCGGGGCAGGACTTTCCCCGGGCCTCCGACGTAGCGACCCAGAGATCCCAGGATCTGATGTTTGTCAATCTGGTGGTTTTTCCTGGATCTCGGCCCCCAGGGCCAGTTCATGGGCCCGGGGGCCCTCAAAAAGGGATCCGGGACGAAAGAAGACTCCCAGGGAAGTGGTCGGGACTTCTGGGGCCGCGGATGACGACATCAGATCGGCTGATGTCTTTACCAGCCTCGAACTTATCCCTATACCTAAGATTGACACGCCAAAATGCGATGACAATCTTAGGGATTCGCCCTCAAAAAATAAGGGAATCCCTAAGATTAGCATCGTGATGAGGAGATGCCCAGCATAGGGATAGGGAGATGTTCCAGGCTGGTAATGTCTGGGGATGTTTCTCCTGGAGTGGACCCGCAGAGGTCCCTACCCCCAGAAGCTCCAGCGTCATGTTTTTTAGCAACGGAGGTCCCTGGAGATCGAGACTCGGATTCGGGCGGATGGGTCCTTTGTGCGCAATAGTTCGTGCAATCGTTCGTGGGGGATGCGCACGTCGTACAATGTTGTCTGCCACGCGCCATGCGCCACAGGATGAACTGTTGCATTTTGTCTTTGCGACCCCTTACGAAAGACCCCCTTTGCCCAGAACCAACAGACTCCTTTCCCAGGGATTGGCTTTTCGTCCCGAGTCGTCTCTTTGACTGTCCCAGGGCCTGGAAAGGGCCCCCAGGAGGCCAGAAATAGCAAAAGCCCGCCCGCCGCTTGTGACTGCGATGCGAAGGAGGGGGGTCCTGGGCAACACCCGATCCTGCAGGCCTAGGATGAGGATAATTATGCACATCGTGACTGAGCGTTCCAGAACTCTCTCAGAACATTCTGGAACGCTCTGGGACCGGCCGCAGCCGCCGATACATTCTCCAAGCCCGCCAGCTCTCAGAGATTCTCGATTTATCATTTATCCGACGTTGTCCTCATCCGATCCCCGTCTTCCCAGAACTCCGACGTCGTGCTTTTTCTTTTGCAACGTGGGCCTCCAGAGGTCTGGACCTCTTGCCCGGGACAGGTTCTTCCTCCTGGGCCATGGCTTGACAGCCCCAAGGCCCAGCAAGTGCCCCTGGAGCCCACAGAGTTTCCCGACGTGAACTTTTCACAACGCAAGGAGACCTCTCGAGTCAGGAAAAAACGGGAGGTTGTTCTAAAATGTCGGTCTTTGGGGGCTCTTCCGGGACCGTCCAAAACCGGCTCTGGATACGAAACCGGTCTTGGGGAAAGGGTCGGGAGTCGCTGCCATGAAAGAATCATGACGTCGGGGGCTTGGGGAGGGGGGGATCGTGCCATAGCTCGGGTCACCAGCGTCGCTTCGAGACGATCCAGGCACCCTTGGATGGCACTCGGCGAGGCGCAGTTGCCGGAAGGTATCCCGCGGCCGGAAAACCGCCGAGACGTGATGAAATCGCCCGGAAATTTCGAATTTGTGCTTCGCAACGCGAGGAGGCGGGAGTTACCCGACAGGGCGCGCGGAGCGCGCCAGAGGCGACGCTGCAGGCGCCGGCAGGAGGGCCCAGCGCCGATCCAAGAAGTCCACGTGGAACTCCAAATTTTCATTCCCCAAACAGTGCGTGCAATTAGCTGTTCTTACTTGTACCCCATCAGGCCCTAAGGAATTGATGGGAATTTCTCCACGTTGCCGCTCATTGCCGCCTCGTGCGCTGGGTTGGTCCGGCGAGATTTCGTCACGTTGCCGCCTGGTGCCGCTTGGTTGCCGCCTCGTGCGCGTCCAGCGAGGTTTCGCCACGTTGCCGCCAGATGCCGCCTCGTTGCCGCCTCTAGCCTGCACCACGTATAGTTTCCTTTTCTAAAAAAGAGAATAGACTCCACCACCATCCCGAGGCCGGATTTATCACTACCCCGTGGGGATGTGCAACTCACATATGATTTTGCCCCATCGTCCATCCTAAATATGAGTTCGCACCATCCCAGGGGGCGCCGGTATTCCCCCCACCATCCTCTACAAAAAATACGATGCGCACACATTCGTTCATCAACAATCATCAGTTTTGAAGAATCACTTGCAAAAAACGGCACGAAGTGCACACGCGCGATCGTCGCGCGCGCATGCCGAAATCCTTCAAAAACCTTCGGTTGCGTAAGTGCTTTAGGTTTTAAAGTCGAGTGTCCAAAAACTAAATAAAAACATTGGGCTTCGCAACGCGGATTTTCAAACAAAAAAACTTGCGCGCGAGCTCTTGCGAATTCTTACGAAAACCATTGATTTTTCGCGCGCTCATGTCGGAATCGTTCGAACGCCCTTGCGCGCGTGCCGTCGCGAGAACCATTTGCAAAAAATGAGACGAAGTGCACACGCGCGCGTCGTCGCGCGCGCATGCCGAAATCCGTCAAAAACCTTCGGTGTCGGAATTTTTTAGAACTGAATGTCCACATGGCTTCGCAACATCAGTCTTCAAAAAAAGCGTGCGTTCGCGCTCGCTCTCTTGCGAATTCTTAAGAAAACCATAGGTTTCTCAACATGTTCATGGAATTCTGCCAAATGGACCTCTGGCGCCGCATGCCGACATCATTCGCACGCCGTTGCGCGCGTGCTGGGGGGGGCACGATCCGTGTCAAATAATACCATGCGGGCTACTCTCGCGCGTCTGCCGCGCGCACATTTCGAACTTCCAAAACCTTCCTCACCGACGCGAAGACGCCGTCATCGTCGTCGGCGTGATCAGCATCGGCGCCCGCACTGGCTGCCCCGTCGTCGCTGCCAACATCGTCACCAGCATCGCTATTCTCATTTCCGTGTCTACCGTTGTCGACGTTGCCATGATACCGCGCCCGCCCAAGTCGCCGACTCGCATTGAAGTGCCCGCTGGGATGTACCGGGCGGTCAGCGCCACCGCGTTCGCGTCGGTCGTGCCAAACTAGTTGGCCGCTGCGCGCGCGAACAAGCGCGGGCTAGCGCGGCCGCGCAGATGCACCAGCCAACACCAGGTACTCATCGCAATCGCTTCCGCATGGGTTTTGCAAACCAAGATGCGGGTGAGTGGCTGGGATGATTGCGCGCGCAGTGGAGTTGAGAACTTCAAGTTCGCCAAGCGAATTGCACCACACAGCTTTCACCACATGAGGCGTTCCAGAGGATCGAAGGAAGTATCATCCCTTCCTCGGCGGAAAGCGGCGGAAGGTCGGCGGAAGCCAGCGGAAGGTTGGCAGAAGGCGGCGGAAGTATAAGAAACGCCCCCAAGCGAGGAAAACATTTCTGGGCTCAGGGTTCCCAAAGTCGCCCACATAGCAGTGCTATAGCTGACTTTGCAGGGCCCATGTTGACGAACGTCGATGATGATGATGGTGATGATGTTGACGATGGTGATGACGATAATGATGGTGATGATGATGTTGGTAATAGTGGCGATGATGATGATGGTGATGATGATGATGGTGATGATGATGACGATGATGATGGCGATGATGATGATGATGATGACGATGATGGCGATGATGATGACGATGATTATGATGACGATGATGATCATGATGACGATGATGACGATGATGATGATGGTGATGATGATGATGATGACGATGATGATGATGATGATGATGATGATGATGATGATGATGATGATGGCCGACTGCGCGGTGCAGGCTTCCCGTGGCTCCACATTTGCATCCACCTCCTGGAGCAGGCCGGCTCGGCCCGCCCTCCACGGGGCCTCCGCGCGTCACCAGGTCGTGCGGCCCGTGGTCCTTGGCCAGGCGGCGTCGACGAATAGAACGACGACGACATAGACGACGACGACGACGACGACGACGACGACGCAGACGACACAGACGACACAGACGACGGACGCTGGACGACGGACGACGGACGACGACGACGACGACGATATAGACGACATAGGTGACATTGACGACATAGACGATTGACGACATAGACGACGACGACGAGAACGACATAGACGACATGGACGACGTAGATGACAGCGACGACGACGGCGACGGAAACGACGAGGACGTAGACGACGACACGACGGGCGACGGACGCTGGACGACGGACGACGGACGACGACGACGACGACGATGAAGACGACCTCTACGACATAGATGACATAGACGACATAGACGACATAGACGACGACGAGGAGGACGACATAGACGACATAGACGACGACGTAGACGACAGTGACGACGACGACGACGACGACGACGACGGACGACGGACCACGGACCACGGACCACGGAACACGCAACACGGACCACGGACCACGGACGTCGATGACGACGACGATGACGACGAAGATTGACGACGGACCACGGACCACGGACGACGTAGACTACGGTGACGTCGACGACGACGACGACGACGACGACGACGACGACGACGACGACGACGACGGCGTCGACGACGACGACGACGACGACGATAGCGACGGCGACGGCGACGGTGACAGCGGCGTCGACGACGACGATGACAGCGACGACGACGACGACGACGACGACGACGGTGGCGACGGTGACGACGGACCACGGACCACGGACGACGTAGACGACGGTGACGACGACGACGACGACGACGACGACGACGACGACGACAGCGGCGACGACGACGACGGCGACGGCGACGGCGACGACGACGACGACGGCGACGGCGTCGACGGCGACGACGACGACGACGGCGACGGGGACGACGACGACGACGACGACGTAGACGACGATGTCTCCGACGACGATGACGACGACGACGACAGCGGCGACGACGACGACGAAAATGACGACGACTCCGACGACGACGACGACGACGACGACGACGACGACGACGACGACGACGACGACGACGACGACGACAACGACGACGACGGCGACGACGACGGCGTCGACGACGACGACGATGGCGACGGCGACGGAGACGACGACGGCATCGACGACGACGACGACGACGGCGACAGCGACAACGACGACGACGGCCACGACGACGACCACGACGACCACGACCACGACGGCGACGACGACGGCGTCGACGACGACAACGGCGACGGCGACGGCGACGACGACGGCATCGACGACGACGACGACGACAGCATCGACGACGACGATGACAGCGACGACGACGACGACGACGACGACGGTGGCGACGGTGGCGACGGTGACGAAGATGACGACGACGATGATGATGACGTCGACGACGACGACGACGACGACGACGACGACGACGACGACGGCGACGACGGTGGCGTCGACGACGACGACGACGGCGACGGCGACGACGACGGCATCGATGACGACGACAGCGACGACGACGACGACGAACGACGACGACGACCACGGACCACGAACGACGTAGACGAAGACAAGACGACGACGACTACCACGACGACGACTCCGACGACGACGACGACGACGACGACGACGACGACGACGACGACGGCGACGACGGCGGTGGCGGCGGCGTCGACGACGACGTTGACTGCGACGCCAGGGCGGCGGCTGCGCGTTACGTCGGCAGTGGCAGCCCCGAGCTTCGATGTGCGAGGATCGAGGCGAGAGAGAGAGAGAGGGCAGGCTCGACGACTGAGGTTCGAGGTTCGAGGTTCGAGGCGGGGACGGGGTCAAAATGGAGGTTCAAGGGATCGATGTTTTTCTCAGTAGGAGGGAGACGGCGGAGGAGGAGGAGGAGGTGGAAGAGGAGGGGAAGGGGGGTGAGGGGGAAAGTGAGGGGGAGGGGGAGGAGAAGGGGAGTGGAGGGGAGATGAGGTGGAGGAGGCAGAGGCACAGGAGACGGAGGATATGGAGGAGCCACCCTCCCCCTCCCTCCAGCCCCCTCTCCATCTCTCACTCCCTCCCCACTCGATCCTCATTCCCCCCCTCCATCCCCCCTCCCCGGACACTCGACACACAACGTGGCTCCCCAAAGACCTCGACCCCTTCTGGGGGACCGGCTTGTCATCCTGAGTCGTCTCTTGGCGGCCCTGGGGCTTGGCAAGGGCTCAGGAGGCAAAAATACCAAGACCCTCCCCTCACGATTGCTTCGCGACGCGAGGAAGTTCGGCTGTGGACCATATGTAAGTAGGGTCTGTGGCGTCCTTTCGGGAATATCTGGGCACCTTGGGAACGCCCTCGGCGAGGCGCAGTTGCTGGAAGGCATCCCGAGGCTGGAAGAGCTTCAAGAGCGTCCGAAAGCTTTCGAACCTCGCATCCCTTCCGGCCGTCGCGCACTTGTTTCACGACGCGAGGGTGTCGGAGTCCTCTCTCCCTCGCTCCTCCCCCCCTCCTTCCCTCCTCTTTTTTTTTTTCCCTCCTCCCCTGCTCTTCCAAATCCTCTCCTCCCTCACTCCCTCCTCCTCCTTTCCTCTCTCTTCCCTCCTTCCATTCTCCTCCTCCTCCCTCCCTCCCTAGGGTTCCCGGGGTGTTTCTTCATCCTTCCCTCCTCCTCCTCCTCCTCCTCCTCCTCCTTCCCTTCCCCCTCCTCCTCCCTCGCTCCAGGTCGGCATCTACATCTTCGGGGTGGGCATCGCCGCGCTCGACGCGGCGCTGGCGGACCCAGCGCAGGAGGGCGCCGAGGTGTCGCGCGCGCCGGCCCCGTCTGCTGCCGGGGGAAGAGAGGGAGAGAGAGAGAGAGAGAAAGAAAGAAAAAAAAGAGAGAGAGAGAGAGAGAGAGAGAAAAAAAAAGAGAGAGAGAGAGAGAGAGGCCCAGACATGCCCGCGTCGTAGGATTACCCCAGCAGAGCACCCGAATGCCAGCCGAGGCGAAGAGGCGGGTCGAGGGGCAGGAGGTCGAGGCGCGGCCGGGAGCACTCTTGGGCGTAGCGGTTCCGAGGGGCCGTGGCCGTCCGGACCGACCAAACGCAGTCGGCATGGAGGCGAGGGCGCGATTCCTGGGCAGAGTGTGCGGAGATCGCAGGCGAAGCGGTAGCTGGGCAAAGGCGATGTATCCCGCTGTTCTACCCGGGCCACTCGGGCTGCTCGGCTCAAACCGATGTTTGTTGTGCACCGAGCCGATGAATGTCAGCCCCAGGGAGACCTGTTACATTTCACATCTCTTTAGCGGGCATCGTAGGCCAGGAGACTTTCAGCACTGCTATGAAATTGCCAGAAGATAGGCCTGGATATTGGCCCAGTGGTTGTGCTGTCTATGAACATAATACATGATCCCGTGAACGGTGACCGTAGGTCAGCCGAAGCGCAAAAAAGTGCTCAGTTTTGTTTATTCAGGGCCGTGTTATAGGGGCCATTGCAGGACCACCCTACGAGACATGGTCTGCTGCTGTTATGCGCACTCCTGGCCACGCATTTCGTTTTGCATTGTTGTCAGAAGCGGCCAGGGGGAGGTGAGATCTTCGGTGTTGGCACGTCTGATGTGACCCTCCACCTCCCCCTTGCGCCCGATCTGGAGAGTTTCTTCTGTCCCCTGGACCCGTACCACGCGCGCACTGACGGGAAGTACAGCCAGGACCTTTGTGACAGGTAAGTTCTTCTTTTCTTGTGAACGTGAATACAGCCTGCGGATCATCCCCCTATGGCCATGGCACAGGAGGAGGAGGAGAAGGAGGCGGAGGAGGAGGAGGAGGAGGAGGAGGGGCGAGGAGGAGGAGGAGGAGGAGGAGGGGCGAGGAGGAGGAGGAGGCGGCGGAGGGGAGGGCCT